TCGGCATTTGTCGCGTTCGGGCAAGTGTCCATTCGGGCATTTGATACATTCGGGATATTGTCCATTCGGGAGACCGGTTTTCGGGCAAACGGCATTCAGCAAGTGACTTTTGGGATCTTGACGTAGACCCAATTTAAATGCATAATAGCATTTGGATTAAAATTAAAAAAAAAAGCAACTTAAATCTATCTTTTAAAATAGTTCTAACAAAGCCACATTATAATATGAACATCTTTTATAACTTCTCATAGAAACATTTTACCAAGGCTAAATTAATGCTAAATGATATTGATTGAAGAATATCTCGCTAAATGAACACCAATTAGATTTACGTGTATCCTTCATAGCCGATACAGTTAAACTTATTTGCAATAAGTAATCTATATATATGTGTATATTTAAATTAGTTGACTTGTAATTAATAAACAGGAAAAATCTTTATTGTTCAAACATTCTTAACTGCTATCTAAATGTTGTCTTTTTGAAAAATAAACGAAATGCAGGAGAAAGACTACCTACAGATTAATATTCGAACATCACATTATTACCATTGATTCTAGTGAGGTCACTTGATTTATTTACTTATTTTATTAAAAACCATGGCGGCTTCCATGAAAGACCATGTTGCCCGTTGAAAAATTTAAGGCATTTTAAAGCTAAATACACAGTGTGAAATCACAACACACGTGATTATGTTCTAATTCATTAATATTAGTTTGATGTTAGCTTTAATAATTTATTCAATAATTATTTAAATGAGGTTCGAGCTCAGAAAATATCATGGAAATAAATCAATTGAAAAAAAGCAAAAACATGTAAGGTTATGTGTGACTTCTGTTTAGATGTGAATGATAAAGTTGCCTATCCAGACTTGGTGTGTCACGGGGCACGTGAAGTAGAGTTCGGCAGGTGAAGAAGAGTTCACTTATGACCTCAGCATATGAAGGGATAGTGTGGTCAAGCCCATGCTCAGCCGAAATCGGTGTTTTAAAAGACAAACAATGTTGTTTGTGACGATGTGTGACAGTAAGAAACGGAGGGGAAATATAAAGATCGTCAAACAAACGAGATCTCCTTTATGGATGACCCCAGAAACCCAAGAGTCATCCAAGAAAAACTGGTAGTCTAGTCAATGTCAAAATTAAGAATTAAGTACTGCTAACTCTAAGTTAAAATTAAAATAAGTTTTGTTTTACGAATAATGTAATGTATCTTAATGTCACGTTCTTTTAAGATCTTTTAACTTTGTAATATGATATAATATATTTTCTATATTATATCGCCTTGGGTGTTTTTATATGTAATATTACATGAATTAGATATCTTAAACTTTTAACGTTTAAAGTTTTATGTTCCTTAAATTTGTTTTCTTTTTAAACTTAATAAATTTAAATCGTCATTAATTCTATGGGCGGTGTGTAAATTGACATAATTTGTATTTGTGTTCATCAATAATTAATAAATAATTAATTTTTAAAATACAAATAATTATTTTTATTTATTATTAACATTACCCATCGGATTTCTAAAATCAACAGCTTGGAAAAAATGCTGTATAGCTTATTTCATGGTTAGACTGGCTGTATCACAGAGGCCGGCAAAATTAAAAAAAACGTCTCAAACTCCAGAGAGAAAATTTTCATTGAGCATTTTCTCCAAAAAAAGCTAATAGTGTTTTTAAATTATACTGTAGATCTAGAATAATTAGAAAAAGGATGAATCGAAAGTATTACTTACTTTTAAATGGACATCAATGCATGCATTACAAACCAAATTATCAAGACGTTTTGTAATAGTACGTATAGGTATAATGGTTTTCATTATGCTGTGCATCATTTGGCTACATCGTGTATAATTGTGCCATTATTCAGTTTACTCAAAACAATGGTTTCTATTGATATAAGCATGAAAGCTTAAATTAGTATTTAAGACAATCAGCTTCGTAAATGCATCCTAAAGTATTTCATTTTAGAGAATGATATCTCACAAGCTACCAGTGTTTCTTCCAGTCATTTCTTTGATGCAGCCCCCCCCCCCCCAAAGAAAGGCTACCGCGCCACCACCTCCCCGAACCAAATTGAATTTTTTGAGGAAACAAAATTTTACCAATGTCCGCTCCCCCTCCCCCGGGAATTTTAGACCGCCACCTTCACCAAAAATATCAAGTACCCCCCCCCCCCCCCGGAGAAAAATAGCCTAGAAGAAACACTTCAAGCTACAACCGAAGGCTATATAATCAGTAAATATGTATGTGCACTAAACATATATTTGTATTTTTTACCAAAGATATTGTCTTTACGTAATACAGGAAGATATGTATTTTGTAAGTTAATCAAACTTATTTACAAATTGGTCTTCCATAGATCATGTGGTGAATCTTCATTAAAGTATATTCCAACAACACCGTATATTTATTTGTGCTTTTGTTTCCCCACGCTCGACAATCTTTCGTCATGTGTATTACATTTTTTGATGTTGGTCATATAAGTTTTAATTAGAACAATTAATTATAAAACACATATATATTTAATATGGAGATCGATGTAAAAAGTGTTTTCACTAGATGTTAACTATAAAATATTGTGTACAGTAGGCGTCTGTAATGTAATTTCGGCGTTAGACTTAAATGTAATGTGTATTTACTTCTACTATATCAGTGGTTCCCAACCTTTTTCGAGTGGCGACCCCCTTTTATAAAAAGTAAGTGACCCGCGACCCCCATAGAATTAAAAAGCCGAAATTAGTATGGAAATTAATAAGCACTAAAATAAGATTGTCTAGTAGTATGAACTACTCTTGATAACTATGTGAATAGCATGAGTAAAATTGCATACTATTCACTAAGCCTTTGTGGTTAAGTTTTTAATTTTTTTAAAAATTTGTTAACGCCAACCTATGTCATAATAATTATCTTAATTTTATTTTTAATCGAAGAATAGTGTTGAAAATATATTCTCGAATAGTCAATCAATTTTACGTTTGGGTATGAATGGTGAATACTACACCAAAATTGTGTCTGCAGTTTTTCATCTTACTCGGAATCATTCTGCAAATCAAAGAATTCATCTTGTAATTCATCGGGAATGCTGGCAACCTCAAGGGAAGAAGAGAATGGGTAATGCGTAAATGCAGATTCTTCTTTTTTCAGCTCAGAGAAATAGCGATGCAGTTCGTTTTCAAGAGATTCAAGATGCCCAGAAATCGCTTCTTTCAAAATTTTAATTATCTCACAGATTCATCTACCACACCGCAGAGTTTCTCAAATTTACAATATTTCCAAGATTTATTTTCTTTACCGATTTTGCAGCTGATAAAAATGCCCCGAGATTATCATGAAAGTTATAATATTCGTTCATTTTCCCTGAAGCTTCAGGTTAAACTTATCTTGATGTTCGAACACATCTGCTAGGTTTGATACTCTCTCCAACCACTCTATGTCGTTTTAAGTATACCAAAAAGTCTTGTTTCCTTTGTACTCCCAAGAACAATTTGATTTCAGATTTCAATTAAAAAACACAATTTACCACATTTCATTTTACAGCCAGCGTACTATATTGTAGAAGAGCAGAACCTCGTGATCTATATAAATGTTTTTGCTCAGTTCTTTGAAGACTCCAGATTTTATATAATTTACGACTTATATTAGCAATGCACTCTTGATGTCGATTGGTTATGGCAGTGGTTAGAAAGCTAAATCTTTTCTGTTTTCTGAAAGCCCGATTTTGAGCTAAACATAGATGACACACTATCCGTACAAACCCCCACAGCCGTTCTAACCCATTTTAATCATCCAGTTTCAAAAAAGGTATTTATTTTCTCCATGCTATCTTCACAAAAGAGCAACTCTTCTTTGCTATCATCCGCATGAATATAGACACAGACCAGCAACTGCGAACACGAACTCACGTCTGTTGATTTATCAACTTGAAAAGCAAACAATGGTGAAAGCTTAATTTCGATAACAATGTGTTATTTAACATTTACGTACATGCAGCGTTTGATGAGATTTTCTCCTATTGTTTTTTTTTTCTTGGCATTTTCTATCGCGACTTCATTTGATGGTTGCACTAATGCTGGTGAAAACTTCCTGTTCGATCAAGTCTCTGGCGTTTGCAACTAGCTTCTTACCGACGAAAGAACTCCATATATTTTTTGGTGTGTTCCGAACGACTCGTCTCAAACGGCGTTTTAGTTTTGAAGATTTCATAGATTCGTGACTGAGAACAACATTGTACAGTGCGCTTTGTTTCTTCTCTATTACATTTCCAGTGATGTTAATGAAGCCGAATTTCAAAAATTCTTTTAATAGTTATGTTTTGTTTCAAATTACTAAGGTTTAGTATACCAGTTGGCGACCCCCCAGAAAGACCTTCGCGACCCCCAGGTTGGGAACCCGTGTACTATATATTATTAACATATAGAATTGAGACAAGTCTCTTCAGTTTCTTAATGTCCGACTCTTCTATATTTCTAATATTTCTAAATCAAGTTAAACTATTTTAAAACTGTCAAGTAAAGATTTGCATTTTTTATGCAAAAATTGTTCTTAATGCCAGTTTATTCCTGTTTTCTAATTTTTTTATATTTTTTTATCATACCGTCGGTGTAAACAGGTAGGGTCTTTCCGTGGTTGTGTTTAAATGTCGAGTTTTACTCATTTAAACCTGTTCTCTTCTTTCTGTATTTTGTTACTCTGCCTGGATGTGCTGTAGTGTGTTCAATGGCTTGTATATACCTGTGTTTGGGAAATCTTGCATGTGTGTCTTCAAACCTTCTCAACCCCTTCCCGTCGTCTAGTCTAACGCTTGTTGCCTCGCCAACCTCTCCATACAAAAGTGTTACGTTTTTGGATGACCTCTTAAAATCAAACTTCTAACAAAGCAATTTGATAATATTGATTTTTAAAAAGGTGAAGCAATACTTCATGCAACGAAAATGCACCCATTAAGGCACAGCTGCAAAACGTTTTTTTATTGTGAAAATAATAGACAAAAAGACTATTTAAATGTAATCATGTGTATTTTCTCAGATTTAGATGATTTTTTCTTAGTTATAAAAATAAACACAAAAACTCTATACTTAAAAACAATTTAAAAAATTAGAAATATTTTTATATGGTAAAATAATGCATTTTGAAACAAATGCAACCAGTCAAATGATAATGAGTGTGTATAAAAACACAATTACGTTGACGTGATAATTAGGTTACTTTGAAATCTTCAGTTACAGAATATAGAGAACCTTCACACTTTAAGAAGAACAGTGGAGTGAATAGATTTGTCTAATAAAAATATGTCTGCTACACTATCTTAAAGCTATAGCTTTATTTAAAACATCTTCAGATACTTTGTTTACACTTGACGTACTTTCATCTCAACTGAGTCTGCAATATGTCCATCGCTTGATAGCCCATACCAGTATATTCCTGTAGTACGGCCTGTTGCACCCCAGACACCATTTAAAGCTACATATCCACAGTTGTTATACCACCAGCCACTTTCATAAGTTTCAGCACAATCTGCTTGGCTGACTAAATCATTGTCCCTTTCGAAGGTAGAAAACTCCATACCATGTTGATATTGTAGCATGTCATTAACGTTTCCACTGAATGACGACATGTATACTTTATACGACGCTGCTTCGTTTTCTACCTTGAAATAATCGTAATGGGCGTAGTACTTTATACTTTTTCGAGTCATGTCGATTCTCAGTTCATTGTATCCCTGTAATGTATAACACGTGTAACATTAAATTTGGCTTTAGCCTCTATGTACAGATTATATTTTTCTAAACTCACCATCATGGTCAGGTTAGAGATCCAGTCATTCCCAAGCCAGAAATCTCCAATCATTGAACCAAATCCATGTTTATAGGCGTCCCAATCTCTCGTAAAATTCACGTCACCCAAAACACGTCTCTGAAATACGATATTTTACAAGATATTGATAAACTATTTCAACAGACAGATCTAATCTATACAAGATCAAATTTTTTCAAAAAGTTTTTAACGTATAAGGTCTTTTCAAAACCTGAATAATGATCCAACCTCCACCGTCAGTTTTTGTGTCGCACAAAGCCAATTTATCTTGACCAAGTCTGACGGTCGTTCGTTCTGGTACATCAGTTTTGTCGTTCTTTTTGCACTATTATAAATATATAATATTTATATTAATAATTCTTAACAATTTGTAAAGTGTATAATTGTTGATATAATTCTGCATTAAACACTTAACCGTGCTAATTCATTTAATATTTATGTCGTATTAAAACAATTACCTGATGTGTCATCCGTGACAACACAGGAATGACGTTGTAGTCGTTTTTCATCTCTTCTACAGTGGTGTTTAAAGCTTCTAGCATGCGGTTTGTTTGGTTGTTTCTTGTGTCTATTGCTCTAAGTTTGTCATCCACTGTTTGCATTTGTTCTGTGATGTTATTTATCTTAGCATCAAGCACGTTGTTTAACTCTAAAGATGATATAATCTGAGCCGTGTCGTCACTGTACCCATCTCTTCCAGAATGTGACATCTGTAAGGACATTGACATGTCTGCACCTTTTAGTTTTTCTGGATCTTCAAACGATTTCAGAAAGTCGGCCATTGTGTCCACAGTTTTCACGTAGTTCAAAGTTTCAGCTTTTAAATTCATCAACAAAACAGATTTCTTGATTTTCTCGCTTTTAAAAGACGTAGTTCTGTTGTCTAGCATTCCAGTGTCTCCTGTCTTATTTGTAAAATACACTTGACATTTATACTGGTGTAAATTACAGGCTGAAATATTGGAGAAAGATATGACCAGTTCTCCGTGAAGTTTGGATAATTTGCCCTTAGATAATATCCCAGATATTTTATAACCGCGAACCTTTGAATCAGATCCTGAAATAGACGCCAACAAAATCTTCCCTTCTGGTTCACTGATCCTATAGACTGACATGTTGACAAGAGCTGACATTTGAGTGTCTTCTGTTATGTTTTCTGTACACTTGAGTTGTGCACAAAATAAACTTTTCCCACGGTAAAAGTGTTCTCTGGTCATGTCAACTTTAAGGCCTAGGAAACAGTTGACAAAATAAATACGTAATATCTAATGCGTTCAATTAATTAAATATTTTGTACACATCAGAGAAATTATGTGATGTGTACAATTAATTAAATATTTTGTACACATCAGAGAAATTATGTGATGTGTACAATTAATTAAATATTGTGTACACATCATAGAGATTATGTGATGTCTTAAAATCTCCAGTCCGGGAACCGACCTCGCCACTTTCATGTTAGCAGTCGAGCTAGCGACCACCCAATTTCAAAGTTCCTTCATTATTCAAACACAATAAAAACATTTCTTACTAAATATTGTTTAAAATCACTGTACTTTAGTTTAATTATTTTAAACTAAAAAATTACAATATGTGGGTTTCGAGGGTCATCCATAAAGGACGTCACGTGTATATGTACATCACTCAAGATATCGGATGTGAAGCTTAGTGAAATAAAACTAACGCACTAAACTTTCATAAGTCAAAGTCACAGTCATGTTGCTTTGTGTTTTTCAAATTTTATACATTTGTTTAATATTGTATTGTGTTGTATCTGAAATCCTATTACCTTTGAGTTTATCTTTTTTAAACCATTAGTTTGCATATAACAATAACCTTTAATTAAAATAAAATTCTGAAATGTTTTTTTCACACGGATGATTGTTACGCTTAATTAATAAAGATCATTGAACTAGATCCATACGCGTTTCGGATACACTAGATTTTTAAGAAGACAATAAAATCAGCGGAATGGCCGTATTGTTTTGTTATCACCATTTAAAGGGCTACAACCAAGTTAATATTTTCTGGATAATCAACAACATCGATTTGTATTCCATTACGTACTTTCTATCTATTGTAATGATTATAGGGGGCATATGGTGCTAAATTGTCACATCATTTCAAAATAACGTATTTATGGGCGAGTCATATTAAATGTATTATGTTTATATTGTTATGATAATTTTAAACTTCACAATAAGTTCTTAAGCATGTATGTTTCATAATATTGATATGCGACAAATGCACTATGTCTTACAAAAATGCCTTAAAGCAATTAATTAAGAAGAAGGCTAATTAAGTAATGTTTTGATCGACTAACATCCTACTGTTCCGTTTTTAAATAATAATATTTTCGACTATTCATAAAAGGCCTAATATAATTAAAGTGAACTTACCAAACGACAGAAATAAGTTGACGGCTAACACAGCAATAAAATACAAAGCAGACATTTTAAACTATTGCAATAACATCAACTCAGCGGAATACGTTCTCGTAGCTGGTTTGTTTGTCAAATAGTCTCGTACTTATATACCGACCAGTTAAAAACACACATAAGTTGACAGGAGGTTGAAGGTCAACATGCACTTGTAAACACTTATGCCGTATTGAGTTTGCCGCTTGAGTTGGTCACAAATAAATTTCTGAAGTTGAAACTTGATGTCAGATAATATCACATAGATTTCTCGTGTAATCGTCTCCTTACATACATACTTGAATAAGAAAGTAGTCGCATCAAGAGCCGACATGTAGTTACTAGCACGATACCGATTACTGTCTCATCGATACCAACATACTTATCAAAGTAACTAGAAACGGAAAGAGCAATTTGCCCTACTTAAGAAAACTCGAGTTCCCATCACTAGTGACGTTTCCTAATTAATAGAAAGGCATTTATTTTTAACCTTTAACATGAGGTGTGGCAAAATACCGTAAGACTTCATATGATTGTCTTCATTTTAAAACATTGTTACATTTGATTAATAACATGTATTTCTTATTGTAACATTTAACATATATATTTATGAATATATTTAAACATTAAAAATATAATATAAATGTATAAACCATATTTTCACTAAAATATCTATGTAAGATATACTAACATTCGTATAATTTAGTGCATACTTTTAAGTTTACGCAGAGCCGGCGTTTGGGGGTGGCGAACCGGGCGGACGCCCCAGGCCCCGCACCTGAAGGGGCCCCGCGCTTCAGCACTGTTATTGTTATCTGAATTAGTTTGTAAACTGATATAATTTTTGCTGAATTCACTTGGAAAAAACGAAATGGTCGAATGCCGACGTTGTTGATTGTTATAACTGAGGCTCCGGTTGATGCTAGTGAGTTATCACCCACCTAAACTGGGGCAGGTCGTAAATTATAGTGTCACACCTCCCTGTGTGAAAGGGTAAGGTCGCCTCGTATTTGACCTGGGGTGACTGGAGATGGGTGGACTCGAATTAGCGCCCGACCAGAGCAGGAAGGAACATTTGGAAAACACGTAATCTGATACCCTATTGTATGCGGCCTGATGAAGACGTTTTGTAGTGAACAGACGGGATGCTTGTAGTAGACAGTTAGTCAACGCTAGTCCTGACTTTCTTGTTGTAGTTGCCATATATGTAGGCCTACTTGTCTTGGTATAACAAAATTAAAATTCAGTGGCTGGCATAGGGGATGGCAGGAGGGCATAGGGGCGGGGTGGGGGATCCAGATCAGGGGAGGGGGACATCCAACAGAGTGATTTTTTTTGGAAGAAAGTAAAAATGTTGTTATGTTGTGTCATCTTAAAGATTCATCCGATCCCAAACAGAATTATTAATTTACCGAATTCGTTCAAATTGTTTTATACAATCGTTTCCAATGGTGCTGACATAATATAGTCATCAAATTGTCTGCGCTGCACGTTTTTGGAGGAATGGGCATCGTTGAGGGGATGTGATATGGTTGTCATTAATAAACGCACATTTTTTAACTGCAGGATATCCTTTACAATAGTTAAGACAATAATGATTTTGGTTTTAAAACATTGTATGGATTCCAATCAAATTTTGAAGTTTATACTGTTTTAATACCTCGGTCCGAGTTCACTTTATTGTAAAGTTGTCCTGATTTCTCACACGTCTAAAGTACCGGCATTCACGGCAGCCCGAACATGCCGTCGGGAAACTCATAAATAAGGTGTAGCTGGCTGTCACGTCGTTTTCTCCCTAATTTTATCAAAATTGTTGATCCTGATCAACGTTTGATCGATTTCCGATAACCGTAAGTGGTACTTTTTCTACTTTGAATTTTTCAAAAGCCTATAACTTGAGTACTCTTTCAGATAGATACATGAAATTTCACTTGTAAGTAAAAGATCTAATTCTCTACCTTCTGTCAAATTTTGAGTAACTTCCATTGACCGGAAGAACTAATTTACGCTATTTACGATTTCTCAAAAATCGCATGTAAATTTATAAAGTACTAATAATATTGCGCACTATTATGGACATTTTGTTTTGGCGTTTGCTTGGTGCGCAATTCTTTTTTCTATGAGATTCTATTCTATTTTTAAAAGTTTAAGTAATTAAAAATGATGTCTATATTCCAAGTTATATAAGAACTAGCCATCGGTACCCGTTTCACGTGAATTATAGGTCTATATATTTCATGAACATGTTTCAGAAAAACAATTTATAAAATCTAAAATCCAAAAAAATCAAGTACATTTTATAAGTTTAGGCCGAGAAAATCGTATTGTATAAATTTCATAGCGTACCTTGCTCTAAATCATATTTGAATGAAATAGTTCATTTCTTTATTTTATTCTAAACTCGGAAGCTGACGTCATTAGTTTCGTGTTCTTTTTTTATTGAAAACATTAAGTGACGTCATGGTTAAATGCGCTCTTGTCCCAAATATAAACACTTTTCCGGTTGCATAATTAAAACTGTTTTTCTAAATTCAAATACGCCTTTAATTTTATTTTTCTTCTTTAAATACAATTGTTGTTATACATTTAAAACATCGGTGCGCGGACCTTTGACCACAGGTGCTTTGACCATAGGGGGTTTGACCATAGGGGGTTTGACCACCTGTGATCAAAGACCTTCTGCTGAGAAAACACCTGTGGTCAAACCCCCTATGATCAAACCCCCTATGGTAAAAAACCGCTATGGTCAAAGCACCGCTATGGTCAAACCCCCTATGGTCAAAGCCCCTATGGTCAAAGCTCCGCTGTGGTCAAACCCCCTATGGTCAAACCCCCTATGGTCAAAGCACCTGTGATCAAAGGTCCTAGGACCAAAACATCTAACATATTATTTTCAACAAAAGTCCGTATTAAGTTCTCCATATATCGCTGAAGATTCTAATGTGATGTCCTGCAAAAATATTTGGCGGACAGAGAGATAGAAGTGCGCACATGGGCTTTTATATATTAGGATATTCCAAAAAGTTTAGGGGAGATTACTCCCGGTTTTTCTATATAAGAATATTCGAAAAAGTTTAGGTGAGATCACTCGCGGTTTAATAACTTGTTAAATAGGGGTGCTCATAAGCTCCTTTTAATATATTTGTACTAAACAAATTAAAAAGCAATTACTTCTCTTAATTATTATTTTTAAAAAATACATACTAAAGATTGGCATAGCATAAAAAGGAAATATATTTAAAACAAATAATACAAATACAAAAAAAAACATAAAAATAAACATAACACGAGAAATCATTACACTTTATAAACTTTTGACCGGCTAAAGACTAGAGCGTAGGCAGTATTACAGCAAACATATTGAATAAACTAGTTCTAAACCTAAATAAAAATTCAGACTAATGCAAGCACACACATCACATGTTGTGATTTAATTAAATTTTTAAAAAAACTTTTTGTTTTCAAATCCCGATCAGGCCAGAAATGAATATCCAATGTTTGTATTCTGTGTTTGTATATATATATATATATATATATATATATATATATATATATATATATATATATATATATATATATATATATATATATATATATATATATATATATATATATATATATATATATATATACATATATATATGGGGGGCCCAGAATTTTTATTTGCGGGGTAGCCCTTTTTTTCTAGTTCCGCCACTGTTAGTTTAATTCCTTTTTATTCTAGACCAGACAAACTCTACTTCATCTGCTCTATAGATCTTCTTTTTACTCAGTTTATTTGATGTAACATATAAATAAATTAATAACAGAAATTAAATGTCTTTGTATCGTTTGTTTTCCTTATTATTAAAAGTGCGAAACAATTTTTTAATGCATAGACTGACTTCAATGGCAACTAAGGCCTGCCGCTCTCATCTCAGTCAAGATTTTGTTTTATTGAGAACAAATACACTACACGCATCTCAGTAGACGATGAGTGGATTTTGGAAACGAAAGTGCTTTAAGAGCAGGATAGATAGCCGAAGTGCGTCCATAACTACGTCGTGACGTCTTATTTCAGCCCGACTTGGCACGGAAATAAACAATCAGACCTCTCCTCGGTGGAGTCGAGTTTTGTGTTTAAACTGAAAACGTTGCTGATAATAGAATGGCTGTATCCGAAAAGAATTGAAATTGAGGGCTTTCTATGTTTTAGTGGTCGTCTGTTAAAAGACTTAAAGCTTTGTAGAAAATTACCCCCCCCCCCTCGAGGTCAAAATAAAATAAAGTAACACTCCAGCCCGCTCCCCCCTTAATTTCAGTTTTTGATATTTTTTTTGTTTGTTTGTTGAAGAAGCGGTTTCTAAAATATTATTAATATTAACTAACCAGGTTCACCAGTATGTTCATAGAAATTTTTAATTAAAAAAAATATTTTCAAAGATGAATTCTTAAAAATGCAAAACTGCAGCTTCACGCTTTTTGTCTCGTATCATGTACGGCTTTGTGGTTCTGCTGGCAGATGATCGTTAACCACCTGTCTGGCTTTACTTATGATGACATAACCATCTAACCCCCCCCCCCGAACTAAATGAAATTTATTTATACAGAAAACATACTTTCACCGAAAATATTAAGAGCCCCCCCCCCCCCACGGAGAAAAAAGTCTATAAGAAATACTTAACAGGACGGATTAACGAGGATTAATTACAACGAGCCGACCCGCGGTGTATCATACGCCGCTATTTAGTTGTTGTTTTTTTCTACTTTTCAGTAATTTATAATTTGTGAATTCGACAGTACCAATGCTGCCACTGAAAATATTTGCTCTAAAACACTAACTAACACTCTAGGTTTAGCGCGTCGAATAAATATTATACAGGCTAAAAATTGCAACCACCCCCGCCTATTTTACCGGATGCAGAAAGTATTTACATTTTAAGCAAGCCACATCGTTTTACACGCGTAAGATACGGTTCAGTAATAATAAAAAATTGTGAAATAAAATTATGTGCATTCTTGGTAATAGCGCTGTGGGTTTTCCTTACAGGTGATGTGGTAAAATCAGAACGTTTAACCTAATGTAGACATATGATACGGTACAACCAGAACA